ACTCTTGTAGGCAATGATTAGACAAACGTATTACTTCAACATATCTACACACATTTACACTCAAATTTTATATTTAAATACAATACATATATCGAGAGAAATATGAAATATTTTATATGACACAAATTTTTTCTAAAAAAATATTTTTAAAAGTTCACTGAAAAATTATAAAGTTAAAAACTGATAAAGAATCATGAAAACCATTCGTACTTTGCATCAATAACATAAAAATGATAAAAATTCTTAATTGGGACAATTTTTTGTGGTATTTATAAAGTTATAGTGAAATAATAGGACATTTTTTTTTTTTATTACGTTTGAAATAAAAAAGGAGTTTATCTTGTCTAAGCAAAGTTGCCCAACGGGCAGACTGTAGCCCAGTGCTCCGACACCACCTCTTCCGCCCCCATTTTCTCTCTCCTGCCCCCGCAAATTAGGGTTTCTGCTCTCTTTCTCTCTCTCTAAACCCCAACATTCAAGCATCGAATTGGAGGGAAAATCTGCTCATTTCGATCTGAGCTGGAAGAACACAGGTGGAGATGGCCAAGACGAAGCCGGGGAAGAAGGACCTTGATTCTTACACTATCAAGGGGACCAACAAAGTTGTCAGACGTATTTTTCATTTTTTTTTTCTCTCTTTTTTGGTCTGGGGTTTGATTATTATTTTTTCGTTTTGCAAGAATGGTTTGCATTTTACTTGTGTTTTTTGCAGCTGAGTTGTTAAAAATGCAGTCTTTGAGCTTTTTTTGTTTTCGTTTTTCCTTTGTAGTTATCTCTATGTTTTTTCCATCTTAGCTGTGGTTAGAAGTTGAAAAATGACGTGAAATTATGGCTGCTATTAGCTGATGAAGGTTTTCTTTTTAATTAGCTCCCTTAGTTCCAGAGACATACGGTTGCTTATGTAGTTTGTGTCTGATAGTTCCTTGCAACTGCACCTTTTGTCATTGTGTTTACAAAAATACTGCCCTCATCTTCCACAGCTAAAAAAATGGCTGATATTACAACTGGAAGTAATTGGTGAATTGGCAAAAGAAAAAGTGGATAGATAGGAGCTTACAATACCCACAATAAGTGAACTTTCTTCATAATTCAGTTTAGATCATATTTTTTGAACCCATATTGGACTAAATTTGTTTTTTATGCATGCATCTCTTGTAGCTGGAGACTGTGTATTGATGAGGCCAGCCGATTCAGACAAGGCGCCCTATGTGGCGAGAGTTGAGAAAATCGAGGCCGATCATAGGAATAACGTGAAAGTGAGGGCCCGCTGGTATTACCGGCCAGAGGAGTCGATTGGGGGCCGCAGGCAGTTTCATGGTGCCAAGGAGCTCTTCCTGTCAGACCATTTTGACGTGCAGAGTGCCCACACTATTGAGGGGAAGTGCATTGTGCATACATTCAAGAATTACACCAAGCTTGAGAATGTGGGCTCGGAGGATTACTTTTGCAGGTTCGAGTACAAGGCTGCTACTGGTAGCTTCACTCCAGACCGTGTTGCTGTGTGAGTTTTCTTTCTTAAAAATTATGATTATTATTATTATTTTTTTTAAATTTGAAATTCAGAGCTTAATTAAATTGAAATCACAGATTACCCATGTGTTTATTTATCTAACTNTGCTATTTTTAATCTCACATGGTGCTATCATTTTTACAAATGTTAACATAAATTGTGTTGCTATTTTTAATAAAATACATCATGATTAAAAATAGCACTAAAATACAATCAATCATAGCACTACATACAATTAAAAATAGCGGTTCTCACGGTTCTCACGCTAGGACTTAGTTCTCATTTGAACCAAATCCTATATATATATATATATATATATTCAATTGTCATGATAACAATATAGCAAAATGTCATGTTCTTCTGTGGTAACTTATTTTGATATTCATAATTTGTTGTTGGTGTAGTTGGCAATGTATAATTTGCTTATGGTTCTGGTTTATGAACTCAGAAAGACGTAAGTGGTCAGAAAATGCATCTCAATCATGAAGTCTTTCACATTGGAGATGTCTTCTACAAATTAACCTATGATGTTAATCAAAATATTTGCTTAAGATTTTCAATATTTACTTAAACTTATTTCGGTTTCGTTTTTTTTTTTCTTTTTTTCCATCTGTTGCTTTTTAGGTTTCATCCTTCTTGTATGGGTATGACAATTGAGGAAGCTAAGAAGCTCGACCAATTCTTGTGCTCTGATTGTTCATCTGATGATGACGGTAAAAGATCTATGAACTCATTTCCTGTATCACCAGCTTCTGAGTCTAAGGTAAGTTTAAGATTGAATGAATATGTTTTATTGTTTTGGTTGATGCTTATGTGATAACTTCTTGAATTCTTTCGTTAAAATAAATGTCTTATCATTCTGCAACTTTCTGAAGTTGATTGTCGTGCTTTTGTCATTTAGGGTGAGGAACTTCAACAATACATGCATTACATGCATCAATTCTGAAGAAGTTTCTTCAAATCTTGATTTTTTATTCCCTTTTCTTTAGGTGGAGCCGAAGCGTAGAAAAAGATGATAGAGTTAGTGTGGTGCTGCATCAAGCGGTTGTACCCTCATTTTCCCGAACACAAGTGCCCCTCTATTTGTTGTGTATTGTGGAATTGTACAGTGCAGAGAAGATATCTGAGCTATGAAAAAACGAAAAGCCTGTGGCTATTTTTCCCTAATTTATGTTAACATTGTCATCTGTTAATGCGCGTGTAATGGGTTCGATTTCGAATCACTCCCCAAAACATGGAAAATCATTGTCATCTCGTTAAACCTACCTTTTTCCAAATTAGAGTTTGGTGTTTGCTTATTTTTATGTTTATGTGCAAAAGTTGTTTTTTCATGTTTGTGCTCAGCTTTATGTTTCTCCTCAAGGCTCAAAGGGTATATGTAATAAGGGTAACCTAATAAATAGTTGATTGGTGTCATCACATTTGTGAGGCAATTATATTTGATGCATATAATTAAACAGCACATCACTTATGGTATATCAGTAACTGCAAAATTTAAGCAACTTTGTTTTCAATCTTGTAAACAAGCTTTCAGATCTTTGACATGGTCCTATATTTAAACATTTCACAATTTAAAAGCTACACAAAGAGCTTGGATCATGTGTGTTTAAGGTAAGCACCATGTGTGCATAATATGGGACGGTAAATACGAAGAAGACAAACGTACTTCCAATTGAAGAAAAAATGTTTTGTTGAAAACAATACGAAGTTCTAATACCCTCAAATCGGTCTTAGAGCTACTCAATGATTGAATGCCAAAGAAACGTGATCTCGTTTGATCATAGGTTACTTCGTAAGTGTCTCATGAGACTCGTTTTTCAGATCATTTTGTTTTCATTTCAGTTACTTCAATCACATAAAACCCAAAACCAGAGGAGAAAAAAATCGCAAAATTATTCCGGACATTTTCTTCTTTTTTTCGAATCTCAGTTAAAACATCCAAGGATAAACCCCAAGAACAACACCAAATTCTTGATTAACTAACAACAATGAACACATCAAAGAACAGTCTTTGCTTAGGCAAGCACAACAACACACAACAGCTTTTCTCAACAACCTAAAAAGTTGTTAAAAAATAAAAAATAAAAAAAAAATCCATAAATCACCATATCAATCATCACCATATGCTCGGAAGCTGTACCGTTCTTGATAGAAACCGTTGAAATAAAGATCAGCCTCAAACCACTTAGGGTACCTTACGAGGTCCCCTGCATTGAACTTCATGTACTGCTCACTTCCTTCAGGCACAACTGCCACCTCACCTTCCTCAATGTACACGAGCTGGTCAACGTGCCAGTCCCAAGGGAGCTTGCACTTGCCTGTTTTCCACACGGACCACTTGGAGACCCCGAGCTCAGCCAAACGGTCCTTCGAGACTTTTCTTTCGACTTTCACATTGTAAAGCTCCTCCAATGGCTTTTCTATCCTCTTTGCTTGTACAACCCACCTCTTGCTGTAATGCCTTGGCGAATAATTGGGCGTCTTTACGTATCGGATGCTTTTATTGGTTGTTAGAGTCGGAGTTAAGATGGTGGAGGCCATGTTGATTTTTTTTTTTATTATTATTTTTTTTTCAAGAGCTCGACTTGATTGTATAGTATAAGCCCCCCCCTGAGTAGACGACGGAATGATCCATAAAATTTCAAATGAATCAAGGTAAATGTGTTTAAGTGTTTACTGGGAAAAATAAGAATAAAGAACAAAACATGAAGCAAATGCAATAAAGATGCAATCTTTCACCGAGGAAAACAATGCTATCATTTTCACTTGGTACGAATCGAAAAGACATCAAACAATAAAGATGCAATCTTTCGTTGAGAAATACAATGCTATCATTTTCACCTGGTCCGAATTGAAAAGATATCCAAACAAGAGTAAAAAAGTTAATGAAAAAACAATACAACTTCACTACTTAATAATAATGGATACAATTGGATAATATAATATCTAGAGTCTCAAGCTCGAGAGCCCATAACAACTATAATAATATCAATTAGGACGTTCTAAACGACTCCCAATCAGTAACAATTGCTAGGGTTTAACTAGTACACAGAGAATGGCTTGCTTCTTGTTCATGACCACAATTAGTAGAGAAATTCAGAAGGCACAAGAGACAGAAGTTAAAAAAAATGAAATTCCTAAACTGCAACAAGAGAGAGCTATAATTTAAGCATTTTATTTCATTATTTTCATCAAAGATTCCATCTTTTTGTCGATAAGGTTGTTAAATTTTTCCACTACCTTACTCAATCAAACTTCAATCGTAAACCCATTTGCAGAACCGAAGAAGCATAGAGCAAAAGGAAATTTAGGTAAACTGAATCCCATAATTATACTGAAAAGCAATCGGTTGCTTACCGTTTTTCCGGTTATTAGTGTGCGAAAATTGAGCTTGGTAGAGCCTTAAACCCCTGAGCCAGCGTAGCGGAACAGAGGGTTTATCCACAAAGACGAGCGGTCTTTTAGCCCAGAAATCGGATAGAGATCTTATCAATTTAGTCCTTTATATTTATTATTTTTCCAAGTAGGTCCCTCAAATTTTTAAGACACACGCTTATGGAGTGTTTGGAATAGTGTAATGCCCGTTTAATTATTGAATATTTGAGAATTATTTATTATTTATTTTATTATTATTAATTGCCTTTATTTGTTGTTGTTATTATTATTGATTGCATGCTAAATATTAATAAATGTCTAAAATTATTTATTTGATATAAATTTTTAAATTGATTCGGCGATTTTCAATTTAATCGCTTAAACCGGATTTAATCCGTTTCGATTCATTTTCGAGCCATTTCAACCCGAACCTCGAATATTATTTTTGGCCCTTTCTGGATATGCAAAAACCAGCCCATGGAGTTATTTATATCTCCATCCCTTTAAGAATTGATCCTTGGCCCTTTATGTTAAGTTAATTCGACCCATATCTTGTGTATTATCGGTCCATTTGGAATTTTGGCCCAATTGAGTTAAAACTCGGCCTCTTTCTTCCTTCTTTTACTTTTTCTTTCTGCTGCGCGTAAATGGTTTCTGTTCCGATATATTGGGCGAGATATCTCTTCCTCTCTCGCACGACTCTCGTTCTTTCTTGCTTAAGACCCTGCCAAATCAGATCGGGAAGATGAAGAATCCCAAAATCTCGCTATCTCCTCCCTCTCTGAATTCTCCCTTGAAAATCCCTCATCACCGGCGCTCGACGGTGACCTCAACCCCCGACCAACAACAGGCATCCACGACGGGGTCGAATTTCTGAGAACCCGACTTCAGGCAACTGAGGGAGAATTCATCCAGCGACGGCAAATCTCGATAGGCCCGACTGAGAACCAGCAGATGGCAATTAGAGCGGATTCTTGGCGAGCACACCCAAATTCCGGCGGCGGTCGCATCAGACTTCCGGTCATCTGACGGACCAAGCAACCAGATAGCGAGAATCCCAGCCGTGGAGCAGCAACACCCGTTCTCAGCAAGGCGACCTTCGAGCATAGCAGCGGCACCCCGTCGGCCTTCTTCTAGGGCCCGAATAGCATCGGCAGCCCTTTCGGGACCCGTGTGAGAATAGCGGGCAGCCGTTCGAGGCTTTATCGAGCAACTGGAGACCTCGAATCAGCGGCAAGCCGGCTCCTTTTCAACGAACAGAAACGGCCCCTTCCGACGGGTTTCGTGGTCGACTCCGGGCAGCCATCTCCCCGTCGGCTTCTTTTCCGAGCACTGCCGACGCTGGGAGATCCTCCTCCCGTGAACGTGAACAGCCCGACGAAGAACGAATAGCCGCAGCCGAGAAACAGCGGCGTTCATGTGCGTGCAGCTGAGGCGAGTGAGGTCAATGTCTGGGAGCTTTGTGCTGAAATCCGATCCCAGCGTCTTCGTGCTTTTGGATTTGAAGAGTGGTAATCTCGAATTCCTTTTCCTCTTCGGGTGTTTAGATTCTTGATGTGAATTGTTGGGCAAAGATGCTTGAATGAGTTGGTGTTTGCCTTGGATTATTTGTTTTTGTGTTGGGCTGAGAGCATGCTAATATCTATGTTGCATGTATGTTAAATGTTTTGAGCAGAAACATGTACCGAGGTACTAATCTTCAGCCTTGGATTTCATGTGCTTGATTGGTTAAGGCTAGAGAAAAAGGGACTTGTGTATTGTTATGTTTTAGCTTTGTTTGGTGTAGTTGTAGTTTGAGCCTTGCTATGTGCTCTTATTTTTTCCTAGTGTGGCTAAGCCATTTGAATGCCATTTATGTGCTTTAAGTTCAGATTTAGTTGCAGTTATTGAAAGCCTTCTTGAACTTAAGATTTGTTGAGAAAGAAAATGCATATATATTGAGTTAAGCCTGTTGATGTCCAGTTTTGGTTCAATTTCACTGAAGCTCCTGAATGCATTTTATGCCATGTTCATTCTTGTTATTATGAGTGCTTAAGGTGCTAATTGCTTCCATGAAATTGAGTTTTAAGTATGATAAGAGTTTCTAGATTTTGCTAGCCAAAGAAGCTTCAATGTGTTGATCTTTTTAACTTGATTTTATCTATCTATTTGCTTTATTTTATTATTCGATCCCTTCTGTTTTAATATTTAACGGACTGATTGAGCGGAACCAAAGCCTTATATTAATCATTTAGAAACATGTTATACTTCATAGCATAATACGATGGTAGGTATACATGATGTTGACCTTCAGTATACAAAATATTGAAATCTTTCTTTTTAGACTTTCTACATTATCATTGTCATGTATCATATGTGTGAATGGGGATTCCATAAAATATTTTTCCAAGGAAATTAACTTACGATTGGTGCCACATTATTTTTATCTTAATTTATTTCATTGCTGTTTGTGGAAATTGAAACCTCTTAGAACTGTAATTAGAGTTTAAGAAAGTCAAGAGCCATGTGTAGTATGTTTCTGGCCTTATTCTTTTGTGTTTATTTTCATGTTATTTGCCTTGGTTATAAGTGTTATCTTGAGGCTGTTACTACATGGTTGTTTTCTACCTAAGTTTTAGAGTTTAAGATCAGTCTTATTTGGCCTTATTTGAGTTAGAAAAGATGTGAGAAAATTTTCAAATAATTTTCTGAGTAGTGAGATAATTTATTGATGGTATTTATCTCATTAAATTTTAGGTTTTTGAGGAGTCGAGCCCTCGACCTACGTTTCTACTATTTGTGTGCTTTGTCTACCTCGTCAACCAGGTGGGTTTTATTTGAAAAGTTTCTATGCATTAATTAATTGTTATTGTTGTGGTATGATCAAAGTATGCATGTGAACCATGTCGCCTTCGATGTGAGCTATATTGGCCGTCGAACGGTTATCCCCGTAGCTATAGAACGTACCCGATGGGTGTCTCCTTTATTTATGTATGGCAGTCAGGGCGTGAGCCTTGGCTGGTGATCCTCGATGTAAGTCCGAAGGAATGTTTCCAGGCATTCGGGGTGGATTTACTCCTACTGTCTGGGCATCGAATGTAAGGCCCGCAGGGGTTTTCGATACGTGTATCAGCAGTGGTCTATTGGTATAGGTGTGCACACGAGAGTTGACTCTGGGAAGGAGATGGGATATTAATTGATTTGTGTTCATACTGCGACCATACTTGCTTTATTTTATAAAATTTAATATTAATTATTGCATAGTGGTGAGCACCTCGATTTTCTATTGTGTTCATCCCCACTTGCTCTTCATGGATGCAGGTTAGTATTTGCGGGCACGACAGAGGAAGGCGAGTGGTGGTCATGTTATCGCTTATTTCCGCTGCTTAAATTGATTATTATGAATTATGCATTCCTGACTTATGTTGAATACTGGATTATCGATAGGGAGTGTACTCCCTAGTATTGATGGATTGATGAACCCAGTTTTGGGAGTTGATGTCATTTATGAACTCGGTTTGGGTGTTGACAATTTATGTTATTGAACTCGTTGGGAATTGCATATGTGATATTGTTGAAATTGTTTTTGAAAAAGAGTAGCGCCTCAAGTGTTTTGAAATAAATTTTGAAAAATTTATTCTGAATTTCGACAAATAAAAGTGGGGCGTTACAAATAGGGCCGCAAACGAATCGAGCGGCTCTTGACCGAACTCGAGTCGAGCTCGAACTCATATTTTGCATTGTCGAGCGACTCGATATATATGTTGAATTACTAAAATATGTCTTATTTATATATATTACAATAGTATAGCATAAGTGTTTAATGGTAATTTTATTTTTCTACTTAAATTTTTTTGAGTCAAACTCAAGCTGAGTTCGAGCAATTGTACTTTTTTATCGAGTCGAGCTCGAACCTCATAAATAGAGCTCGAGCAGCTAAAAAAAAAACCAACCCTGCTTGATAAAGTCAGTGTTCGATTCAATGTGATTCGCTTGCAGCCCTAATTTGGATACATAATTACTCCGTTATTGAATAAACAATGCAAATTTATGACTTATAGTTCAATATAGTTTCTTTAGTTATACAAAGCAAAAAGTGGGATTTCTTGTCTTCCAAGTGCCATTTTATTGGAGCAAAACTTTGACACCAAGACTTTTCTTCAAAATAATATAGGCAGGTTGAAAATTTTAATAAAGATAATGACAGGGAATTAGATTACTTATATTTTTGCCAAATTATAACTTGTTGTCCAAGGCTGTTTGACAAATTTGACTTTTGGACCAACATGCTTGTATGAAGGATTGAGTTTTGAATCAACATTTCGAACATTTTTAATGTTCTTTTGAGTTGATTTCCCACCAGTGTGTTTTATAAACCAAAACATGTGAATAAAAATGCATGTAAGTAATTGTTTAAAATAATTTTATAGAAATACAGAAGTTTATTATGAATTTCTGCTTTGTTTGTTTCATAATATGAGCCTTATGATATAAATCATTTATCAGTCTTAGCATTCCTTATAGAACGGTAAACGTGAATCGAGCTCGAACTCTTAATATTCGAGCCCTTGTCGAATCTAGCAGTAAAGTTAACGAACCGATAAACGAACTCGAGTTTATCTTATTAGTGAGCCTTAATGAACTAAATAATACTAAAAGGTAATGAAATTACACCCAACTAGCCGAATTAACTAAACCAGCTTGTGTTCAGATCAAAGTCGAGCTTGAACCTTAATGAGCAATCGAGTTAAGCCGAACTAAACTCACGAGTGACTCGTTTTGTCGAATAGCACTAAATTTCCTTTTCAACAAAATTGATATGTTTTCTTGATGTTATCTATATATATATATAATTACTAGCTAAATAGCATTTAAGAAAACCTATTTAATAAATGCTCTAAATTTTTTCTCCATTTTCGGTTACAAAATTTATAATTAATGTTTTTTACTTCTCACATTAATACATCCTATTGAGTGTAATCATGTATTTTTCTATTATATTATATAATAATTAATGTTAATATCAACTAATAATAATTCACAATAAATATAAATTGCATAATTATAAACAATTGTTTCAAGTTATTTATTTTAACATCAATATTATCTTTTTCTTTTATATCTCATGAAAAAATTTCTTTACAAACAATTAATAAATTGTTTTAATAGCATAGTCAAACAACTTTAGTATCTTATAAATAATAATAATAATAATAATAATAATAATAATAATAATAATTATCATCAAACTGCTATTATCTAATGATAATAAACAATTGTTCATAATAATGAACAATCATTAATTCATTTTTCCTAATGATTAGATTTTAAAAATGTAATATGTTCATTATCTAAAATTTTAATATTAAATTCTCAAATCTGATTTATAATATTTTATGTACATATGTGCATGTGCACATGATATTTACTAGTTAAAGTTAAATAGTTGACCGATTATATCACTGAAGGAAAAAATGTAAAAAAATTGTTTTATTGACTTTCATTTCTTAATTACAAACATTTGTAAGCACACAACCAAATTATAAGAATTGATCTCTTTGCTACAAGTACAGGAAAATTCGACCTTTCATACCCAACTCGCAGCCATGAGTTTTCTCGCCGGAAGATTGGCAGGCTCAGAGGGTTCCTACTTCCTGCAGGAATCCAAACAGGCCGTGACCAAGATTGTGCGCAGCCAGAGGAACAGTAACCCAAGCGGCGCTAAACCGCCGCTGGCCCCCGAAAACGGTGAATTTTCACCGTCGGCGGCCGATGTTCTCCCGGAGGTCCTGCGGCACTCTCTTCCGGCCAAGGTTTTCCACTCTCCGGCGGAGGATTTGGGGCATTACCCTCTCTCCAGAGCTGCGAAATGGGTTTTGAGACCCGACCCGAAAGGCTCTCCCCGCGCGTCGGCTGATGCGCTCAATCCCCTCTCGGCTTATGTTTCTCTGCCACAGGTCACGTTTGGAGCCAAAAGGTTGGGTCTTTTTTCCCTCTACTTCCTTATGAATTTCTTCATTTTTTTTTAGATTTGTTTGATTTTTCTGGTTTCTGATTCCTGTGGTTTCGAAAAGGTGGGTTCTTTAAGTCTTTTCTTATGTAATATAGATGGAAATCGGCTGATGTTTGCTGCTATAATGAAATTATGGGATCTATCATTTAGGTTTTTTGCTGTCCTCTGTATGTGTGTGTGTGTTACTGTTGGACTTAAACACCACTGCTATCCTGCTCTGATTATCTGAACTCTGAAGTATGTGTAATTCTTTGCATTTTGATTTTTTATGTTTCTCAATTGCTTTCCTATTCTTGAATTCTGTTGTTAATGTTATTTGCACTTGGAGTCTCCTGGTCTGTTTGCTTTATCTTTTTCGAAAATTTTGTATGATGGCATGAACCCTCCAGGTGGCAGCTGCCTGATTTGGACAACTCGGTGATAGCCTCAAAGGCGAATGATTTGAGGCATGAAAAACACACCCAGATCAACCCTGAGAAATTGAAAGCTGCAGCTGAAGGCCTGACTCAAAGTAAGTCGTGTTTTCAGTAAGATTTACTTATGGACAGTTATATCAATCTTGGGAGTTGGGGCTATATTGCATTCTCTAAAGGATAAGAAGTTTCCGGAAAGTTATGACTCGTCGTGTTATTTTCAAGACATGTACGTAGGATCATGTGGCGAGAAGTGTGTAAGGAAAAAAAATGCTGGAAAGAGGAAGTTACAAGCATGATAATCTTTGATTCTTGAATGAATACCTAGTAATTTGTCATGTGACGACACAATTTGTTGATTCAAGATTGTAATGAAATGAATAAAGACAAAAATGTCAAACTTTTCGTATCGACACCACATTCGATAGAAAGTTGGTACTTTTTTTTTAATAAAAGATAATTGAACGTTGACACATAATAAAAAGAAAATGGCGTTGTTGCTAGGTGAAAAAAAAGTGATTTCCCTTATTATGAAAAATCATACAATCAACCTCACTGCTATTTTCATATCTACGTTCTTTTTTTTTTTTTCTTAATTTATTGGCAGTTGGTTCAGCATTTGCTATAGCTACAGCCCTTGTATTTGGTGGTGCCACTTTGATCTTTGGGCTCATAGTCTCCAAACTCGAGCTACATAATGTAAGTATAGATCTCTCAGGGCCTCTTAGAATGTCCCATTTTTTTCTAATGTATTTAATATAGACTACATTTCTACCTGATTTGTGGTTGAATGTCGGTTTTTGGTATGTGTGACAGTTCATTTAGGTTCTGGTTAAAAAGTTAAAGAAATAGGTAGCCATTTGTCACTTGAAAGTAATATGTGACAGTTCATTTAGGAGAATATCGTGATATTGCAGATATGCAATTAAAAAGTTACAAAAATTATATCTTGGTAATACCCATGAACTGAAGATGTTTGCTTTCTTTTCAGACTGATGATATACGAATCAAAGGAAAAGACATTGTTCGACCGAAGTTTGAAGTGTTCAGAGAACAATTGGCACCCTTAAGATCATGGGTATGACTAATGGCTTATATTTGTTGTTAATTAGTCCCTACAACTTGTCTCGTTTCATTCGTCTTTCTAATTATTTATTTTTTTTTTTTTTTTTTGGCATTTTGTGCGGGTGGTCGTTTAGGCTGAGAACGTGTCGAAAAAATGGCATTTAGAAAGGGAAGAATCCATGAAAGAGAAGCCACTAATAAAGGAGCTTTCCAGAACATTAGGTGCCAAAACTTCTTCCACTTGAAAACATAGTTATATAATCCATTTGTTATGTATGTGGGTAGATGTAATCAACACAACAGCTGTGTTGTACTTTATATACGTGAGTTTGTGACTATCATGTGAGATTATTATGTTGTACAAATATTAGGAAGAATGAGATATGTGAATTGATTTTTGAATAAAGTGGGGTTGTTTGAAATGTGACCAAGGTGTATAAAATTGCGTTTTGGGTCTGTTGACCACCGAGCCGGAATGGTTGACTATGGTTCCGAACCGGAACTTGCCAAAACACGATTTGGTTTCAGTTCACCCATTTTTTTTAATCTTGTTCTGGTTCAAACTATGTTGTCGGTTCAAAGTTTGAAATTAAAAATATCAGTTCCGAGCATCGATGGTTCACGGTTTCGAACTGAAACCGAGTGAAAATGTCGGTTTACCCTTCCAAACCATCAGAAAAATTCAAATTTTCGAAAGAAAGCTATATTTTCGGACATATGAGATAGTAAGAATACGCAGACTTAATAATTTTAACTAATCATCACAATATTATTAATATAACTAAATAGTTTCAATCAATCATTTTTATAAATCACATTAACTTTAATTCAATATTAATTCATATTATGTAATTTTAACTAACAATTGCTTCTCATCATTTCTATTGTAATTTACGTTAAATCAATTTTAATTATTTATTTTAAATATTATTTTAATATAAATTCAAAATTCCTCAGGCGATACCATACCAACCGACATTTTTCAAAATTAATAGTATATTTCTATCCATTATCTTGCTAACAAAACACTGACATGATGTAAAATTGAACAAAAAATACAGATTACAAAATAGTGTTCCTTTCAATGTCCTCAAAAATTAAGTCCAAAATTGACACCTGCGCACATACAAGTATGAGTGCGTGTATATACACATTAAAATACGTATAATTAGTTTCGTTACAGGTCTCAATCCAACATTAAGCACATCCTTCATGATGATTCATCATGACTGCTTTTGGTAGTTGTAAGAAATAATGCCCATTTAATCTTCACATTTATATTTGGGTCCCCATATTTACATGTCGTGTGTGTGACATATGAATGAATTACAACTAAGTCTACTATTATATTATGCCATCTATCTGCATCAAAGCTTAATTACAAAGCAATTTAAGAAAATATTCCTTTCTTTATTGCCATGAAAATCATTCACACATTCATAAACTTCTTATTCATTTGTCTACAGTTCAAGTGAATCTAATCGTTAGGCAGGTCGACCCGTCATACTATTTAAACAAGATTACATACTTGTATTATAAAATATCGTACTTTTGTATATAAATATGTTGTTTTTTAGAGTATAACTTTTTTAATTTTAAAATATGAATATCTATTGAAAATATATAATAAATTAATTTGTTTATTCAACTCAATGCATATGAACATTGCTTCATATATGCATGCATCTTTCCCTAGTGCACTATGTTTAAACCCATAACGAATCAATACTGGAAAAATCATCAAATTCCAACATAATAATGCTGCTTAAAAGCATGATGAAATAATGGACCAAACTTGAAGCTTCAAACTTGCATTCAAAACCTTATTTCATAAGCAAGACCAAAATACATACCTCGTTTTATACACATTAATTCCTATACAACCACAGCCCACAAACAAAATGATGTGTATTATAAGTAATTATAATCCAAACTGAATATACTCTTGATTTCCAACTAAAGAATAAAAGATATAACACACATAACAACAAAACTAACATCATACTACACACACACACATACATACATACATATATATATATATATATATGTATATATATATCCTCATCTAGTTATGGAGAGGATTAGATCCCGATGGAATCTTGCGTTTTTGCGATTCAAATACCTTGGCAGGGCCCGTTTTATCATCATTATAACGTGAATTTTTTGAAGGAAAGGCTCGCCGGAAAGTGATTTGGGTCATCCGATGGACAGAGGGGGAGGAAACGGGTCGACCCACGGAGGCAAAGAGGAGACCAACGGCGAAGACGATCAAAAAGAGTTTCGAGGTTGTTTTCATGGCAGAGTTTTTGTTAGAGTTTGAGGTTTTTGGGAGAATCTAAGGTATTATTAAGGTGGGGTTTGTGAAAACTTTAGGTTAAAAATATATAGATAGGTAGATGTATGTGTGGATATTGGTTTATTAACTTGTAAGTGGGGATAGTGTGTTTTGTGAATGTGTATACCTTGACTTTGTTGCCCCATATATTGGACCTCATGATAGCTAGCGAGCTTAAGCCCATTACATCTTTGAATGTGTTGAGAAGCTTTCTCCGTTTTGGACAATCTTAATACACATTGTGCATACGCATATTGACACTGTTTCCATATATTTGTCTGCAAATTTTTGTTTTTGATAGGAGAAAAAAAAAACATTATACTAATTTGCCGCACAACAAACTTCATATACATATATATATATATATATATATATATTTGTTACAAAAATATATATAAAAAAAAGTATACTAATTAATAATGAGGGAAGGAATACGGTTCACTGTTTTTTGTCGAAGGCGCCTTTCAGTGTCCGTTTTGTTACAAATTGAGTGTTGATTACAACGGACAACCCAGTCATGATTGTTGTAATGGGCTTAAAACGACATGGCCTCAAGCGTTAACTCATCTTTACTCCACTTGATAACCACCAAAACGGTCAGGTGAAGGTCACATGTCCAAACTCATTATACCTTGAGAGATCTCACACGGGTCGAGTTAAAACTCGAGTCCAAACCCAACTCTGTTTGGATTTTAACTTGGACTTCAGTTTTGCAAATAAAATTACACCAAAAAATATTACAAAACTTGATCCAAGACCGACCCAGACCATTCAAAGTCGTCCAAGTCTAGCCCAAAGTTAAATTGCCAAGGCTCCAAGCCCAGGCACAGGCACAGTGTGTGGCTGATCTCAGACACGCAGAGCATGTTTGTTTACAAGAATTTTTTAAAAATTTTCAACATTTTAACTCAATCACTATTATTTAACTAACTTTAATTCAACCCCACTATCACCAATATTATCAATATAATTAAATAATATCAATCAATCATTCATGCACACAACATCAACCTTAATTCACTATTCATCCAATCACATTATTTTAACTAACTATCACTTCAAATCATCCTTCCCATATTTACATCAAATCAATTTATTTTATTTTATTTTAAATATTATTTTATTATAATCACTAATAAATACCACTTTTTTCAAAATTAACCAAACCAAAAAATCCAAACAAAACAAAAAAAATTCATAAACAAACATGCTCGCAGTGACGGTTTGAGTGTGGTAGACATCGAAAAAAGAAAGGAAAAAGGAATAAAGAGAAATGCCTCAAGCACCGGTCGAATTGATTCGCCACGTCCAGATCTGTACCCGGTCGGCGGCGGACTTACCCGGCTACAACCCGAGCAACCCGACCCTACCCGCCCTGACGCCCCTCTCCGCCGCTATAGCTGCTTCCCACCCATCGCCGCCGCAGCTCCGCTGCAAGAACTGTAAAGCAACGCTTCTCAGAGGATCGGAGTCCATCATCTGCGCTTACTGCGGCCTGGCGCCCCGCGACGGCGGCGTTTCGGATCCCATCAGCTTCACCTCCACCGTCGGGTATCAGTGGCTGCTCCGCTCCCTCCGCCTCGATGGATCGGTGAGGGTTTCGTTAATTAATTTTCTTCAGTTCGGAGTTGCTTTGTTGTGTTTATGATGTCGTTTTATGCAAATTTTTAAGATTTTTTGCATTTTAGTTGTGACCCAGTTTCTAATTTCCTTGGGTTTGCAGTGAATTAGATGTGTTATTAAGAGTGTGATTGTTATTCAATAGAAAGCTGTATGTGTTGTTTTGGATATTCATATTCTGTGTGATATCTCACCAGTCATGGGAACTTGGTGAGTTTCTCTTTTGAGTGTAGTGTGAGTATAAGAACTTAGGAAGGCTCCTGAGGAAAATGGCGAATACGCGATTGGCTGTGGGAAAGAAAGAATATCATTTTGTCATTTTCCTATAGGTTTCTAAATTATCTTGATTTTGCGACTAGTCGCCCGGGAAATCGAATAGAAAAAAAAGCAGCATGTTTGGGTTCTTTGTCTGTCATTTTGAATGAAAATGAACTATCTTTAAAATTAAAATCACCTTGCAGGAAATGGTGGATCAGACACAAAAAAGGGAGCAAAATCAAGGCTACAACTCTCCCAAATCTTTAACCCCTTTGTCTAAATTCTTAAATTTTAAGATATCAAGGCCAGCTAAAACAGAGAAGCAAGAAATTGTTTTATCGGAGAAGAATTCAGAACAGAATGAAGGGTCTTTGAGGTTAACTGTCGTGGCTCCCGATAAGTTCTTTCTGAAATCACAGAAAGATATTCTATCTGACATGTCCTCAGGACAGCCATTTACCGGCAACCGGATTGGAACTTCCGATGAACGGAAAACTGTTGCTGCTTTTGGCCACCGAAACTCATTGCAAAACGTTGAGTCATCCGAGCCAGCTGACAGCTCTTCCAAAGCCTTTTCCGAATGGGAAGCTGAATTCCAATCTGCCGATTCTGAAAATCGACATGAATTTCCAGATGCCTCGTTTGAGGATTAATCTTGCTGCTCATATCAACTCCTTTTTTCTGGCCTAAAGATCCGAATGGCAGAAAAAAGTGAAGAAATCCAGCTGTTTCTCCAGCTTTTGATGAATGTACAACTTTCGAATGACCATGAGATTGATCCCAGTGTTGGTTGATAACAAGTCCTCAGAGATGAATTTATTCAGCTTTGAAAACAAGTCTGAAAGGGGCGATTTTGGTAGATTTTGCCGACCAAAAAGCCCTGCATCAAACTGGTGCGTACTTATACTTTTTACTGAACATTTACTGCTTATTAACTACCAGTCAGAAGCTTGCATTAGACCGCTTCCATAAAAGCTCCTTCCTCTCGAGTGGGTAGGGGATTGGTCGTTACATTGGGACGGTTGGTTTGCCCTTGGTTCAATCGGAAGACCTCTCCCCCTTCCTCCTCCTAAGAGGATTGATGGCCTTTGAGCCCAGGTTGAACTCATGAACTCTTGATACCAGAGCTTCTCTTCTCAAGTGTACTGTACTTGCTTCTTCTATGACTTCACTTCGCTTCTAAAGTATGGTCGAGCATCTTCAAACCTTGGCATACTTGCAACGAGGGCAGCATCTATTTCACGATCGGCATTTTTACCTCGACAATTTTCCAATCAAATTACTAGCTTTTTATCTAATTCCATGATACTTTTTTGAGCCAATGTTCATTATTATCTTCATCGTTTTATATTCCGTACTTGAAGTGGTCCCTCTCACGATCTGCTCCTACACTTGATCTCCACTACACGCTGAAGAGGTCATCACCGGAATCGAATACACATAAATATATATCTATCCATTTGGAGTGCTCTTATTCCACTATGATAAAAACAAAAAGAAAGATGAACAACGATTAATGAATTCTAAATATGTGAATGGATAATGCGATAAAACTGTAAAGACGAAGATTGACGTGATATATATTAGTAAAGTAGTGTTCGGATATGAAATGGTGAGTACAAATATGTTTGGCTGAATGTGATTTTTGTCCCACTTCCTAGCGGCCCTTCTCAAGAATTTTGACGAGCAACAAATTATGGAGATGCTATTGCACAATCGGCTGATGACGATGTGAAGATGGTGATTTCCCAAATGCACGATCTGTCTTTTGTGCTAGAGTCTAGCCTCTATCCCTTCAGGCCCAAATTCCTCCCAAAAGATTTAGATGCTGTAATTTCATTTCTTTCTTTTTTTGTTCATTTTTTTTATTGTTAAGTTGTTTTATTATTATTATTATTATTATTATTATTATTATTATTATTATTATTATTATTATTATTATTGTTACGTTCTATTATATGATATCAAAGTATAAGCATACATTTTTTGTTTAAAAAGAATGACTCGCTAGCCGTCTCACTCTAGAATTTGTGCTTTTGTGCTTTTCTGTTGATTTGTAAGTCATAGTTTTATGGTCCGTTGTAGATGCAGACTGCAGTTTATTTGTTTTATTTGTGGCAAGACGAGCTGTAGACATTAGTGGAGTACACAACTATAAGGCTATGTTCGCAAAAGTATTTATTCGATCCAAATTAATTCATACTCAAAATCTAACTCAACTTTAACTTAACCTCACTATCTTCAATATTATAAATATAATTAAATAATAACAACCAATTATTTTGACACATCACATGAATTTTAATTCACTATTCATCCACTCACATAATTTTAACTAATCATTACTTCATATTATTTCTCTCCTACTTTAACATCAAATCCATTTTAATTATTTTATTTTAAATATTATTTTAATATAAACTCAAAATTTCACTAACAATTAATTATACTTTTTCTAAATTAACCCTAGTTAATTAAACAAAAACTCATTTTGAGTTAATTCAATCAAATTATTTCTTTTACAACACACCCTAAAATACTCACAATCACAATGCCATTTTTTTCTGGTCTTTTGATATAAAATACTCATTATATTAAACATCGTGCATGCACAACATACTAACAATATTTAGACTGACATTTCATACTTTTGGCAATTTGCATGATACTCGATGTACGCAAGTTCTCAATTCCTAATCTTTTCATTTATTCATTATTATTATTATTATTATTATTATTATTATTATTAGAGTGGTGGAGGTGGTGGTTGTAGGAAAATAATAATGATATAAAAAATATACAAACTTTTTGTTTTTAGATAATAGAAAAAAGATAATAATAATAATTAATATTTATGTTTTAATTACGTTAGTGCTGTACAATAAAAATGAGAAAAAGTTAATATATTTGTTTTAAAAAATTCCATTCATAATTTTAATTAAATAATTTTTGACTAAAAAAAAAAAAGAAATAAAATCTTAGGTACAATTTTGACAATAAATGACCAATATGCACACTCCCAAGTCCTAACAAAATACGCATATTTAGCCAACTGGATCTAACATTTGAGCAAAGAAAAAATTTCGTGGTAAGTAATAAATCACAAAGTAACCAGACGTGAAGAAGTCAACTCTTGACCTCGGTGTATTTGTATGTACAAGTCAAAACTAACAGACAGAAACAAACGGGGGTTTGTTAATCAAATTTCCTCCACTTTTGGGGTGTTTTATGCGTATGCGGAAGTTCGATCAATACTAAAGGAAAGGGAAGACTTATCCATCATATAAAACTTGCCAATTCAATAAATACCACATATTCTGGTCTAATTCAACCTAATTGTTACAGAGTCGATCATAATAAGTTTTAAGTAAAAAATAATTATACCTTTATTGTGAAATAAAAAAGTACGACTATTTATTGGTTAGATTTGGCTAATGATCTATTAGTTCTCTAATTAGATAATCACAATGAAAGTTGCCCGACATTTGGGAAAAAAAATGTCATATGAAAATGTTCAATTACCATATCACTAAAATATAACTTTTATCAAGTAAAACTATTGTTAGACATGACTAATGATTAGACAATCATATTTGTTAGGCATGACTAACGGTTAGACAATTATATTTTTTTGACAGATAAATAACATTAATTTCATAGCGATTATGTATTTTTATCAAAATATTTGGCGAGTCGACCCACCTTACGGTTAGGCTGCCCAAAACAATAATTTATGAACTTTTATAATAATCAAGATATATAAAAAAAAAAAAGATAATTTCTGAACTTTTAAGATAGTTTTATGTACATTTACATAAATAATAGTTGCTCAAAGTAGACCACAATTACGATGAATACTAGAAGGTATAGAAAGGGTCTTCTTCTCTAGTAACCTTACTCCCCATTCTACTGCCGAGTCATGTGCAAGACTTGCCATTTTCTCTATTTTCCTTTTTTTCTATTTTGGTATTTTTGTCTTCTTCATATAATGGCCAAACCAGGTGGACTCTCCTTTGAGCCGCATCACACTTTCATATTCAACCTACATTTCAATATAAAATTGGAGCTCAAGTTTGAAAGAAGAATAAAAAAAAAAGAAAGAAAGAAAAATTCAATTCAGTTTCATCAAATGGAATCATCTAGCTCTAAATCCCCACGGTCACCTACCGCCATTCGTTTCCCCACGAACCTCAACTCGTGCACCACTAACGACGAACGAGCTGAAAATGGTTACGGGAAAAGGAAACTAGTCGTCACGAACGAGATGGATTTTTTCATGGACGAGAAAGAAAATCATGTCCGTGATGACAATGATGAGGGTATCGATCGAAGTTTACATTTGAGTGCACCATCATCTTCAGTCATGGATTTCAATCATGTCAATGTAAGTTCATTATTTCCAAATTTTTTTTCCTTGAATTTTTTTTTTTTTTGGAGTTACAATGTATATGTATATTCTTTCTTGATGAGCTGGTTTTGATTCTAATACAGACTGATTTGTTGCTTCTAACGTCCGAAAACACGAACGCTAGTGACCGATCCTTAGTAGAAGGTGGAACATCTTCAAACTCCGAGCAGGGGAGGAAATTTGAGGTGATCGATCGGGAGATATGGTTTCGTTGTGTTTTGTTTCGCAATTTTTAATTACGATTTTTATTTTCCAAAAAGAACTAATATTACTATAAAGATAATAGCGTACGTCTGTGTATATATATGATAGCACCAGATGATATAAAAATAATATATATGATAGCACCAAATGATATAAAAATAAGTTAATAACATCGTACACAATTCAAAATAGCATCATATTCAGTTTTCTCTATGTAACATTTTGTATACATTAAAAACATATGGTGATTATTACAGCTTAGGGTTATGAGAAGTGAGCTAGAAAGAATGAGCACGGAAAATCGTCGTCTCAAGGAGATGTTGAACCAAATGACGAACAATTACAACGGCCTTCATATGCATTTGATGACGGTCATGAAGCAACACGAGCAGCAACAACAACAACAACAACAAAAAGGGGTAATTAATCATCTTCACCATCATAGTGGAGGCCGAGGAGAGTGTAGAAGTTCGTGTTGTGGACAATTGACGGACCTTGGGCTTGCAATGGGGGCCGACACGGAGGATCACGCCTCCCTATCATCCTCCGAGTGCCGGGACCACGGGCTCACGGTCGATAAAGAGGGAGACAACAAGAGTCCGGAAAATAAAGTAATTACTTCTTCTAGGCACGGTTCAAGTTCTGATCCTAGTAAGAGTAGTGTCGATCAAGCCACCGAGGCCGCCATCAAGAAGGCTCGGGTATCGGTTAGGGCTCGGTCGGAGGCTCCTATGGTATGTATGTTTTCGACGACTATTTCATGATTACCATCGAATAACTAAGACAAAACTCATAATCTTCAAGAGAAAATCGATTATATGCCTTGGTGTTTCCTCATTATATTGACTATGAGTAGCGAAACAGATAACCGATGGATGCCAATGGCGCAAATACGGGCAGAAGATTGCGAAGGGAAACCCGTGCCCTCGCGCGTATTATCGATGCACCATGGCTGCCGGTTGTCCCGTTCGAAAACAAGTACGAATACTATCCCTATAACCAAATTTTGTTTTACACATGAGTTATTATTGAGTGTTGATCATTGCATAAATGCTAAATGAAAATTAGCCCAAATTAAGGATCAATTCACTATTAATATTTTTCAAAAACATATGTACTCCAAAGTAATGTCTAGCTCTCATCCTAACATCAAATCATGCTAAAGTGACATAAACGATGACATAAACTTTAACATAATAACATGTGTCAAGATGTTGTTACTTTACGCATTACATCACTTTTAATATCAGCAAACTACTAAACATATACATATCATTTTCTGTCATCCTTTATGTCAAAGTAGCATTATTTTATTCCCTATCACCATATATTTACATTTTGAGTTACTCGATTGCAGGTCCAAAGATGCGCCGATGACAAAACCATCCTCGTAACGACTTACGAAGGCAACCACAACCACCCACTACCTCCGGCAGCCATGGCCATGGCCTCGACCACATCATCGGCCGCTCGGATGCTACTTTCCGGCTCGATGCCGAGCGCCGATGGCCTAATAAACTCGAACATCCTTGCAAGGACTCTCCTCCCTTGCTCCTCTACCATGGCCTCGATTTCTGCCTCCGCCCCTTTCCCCACAGTTACCCTAGACCTAACCGAGTCCCCTAACCCTCTCCAATTTCCGAAAATGCCCTCGGCCGGAAATTTCCCTTTCACGTTCCCGAACAACATGATCTTGCCTCAAATGCTCGGCCAGGCATTGTACCACCAGTCGAGGTTTTCTGGCGACACGGCGGCGAATGCGCTGGCGGCAAACCCGAATTTCGCGGCGGCTTTGGCGGCGGCCATCGGCTCGTTGGTCGGAGGTGGCTCGGGCTCAGGTTCGAACAACAATGCGAATGAGGAGAGTAATAATAATGCGGGTAACAACAATGGAAGCGGTGCAAACCCTAGCAACAATAACAATATGTAGTGGCATGAGAAATTGATCAAGACAAACTATGTCTTCTTTTTGATTTGTAATGCAAAATGCATACACATGATTTTTTTTTTTTTCTTAATTTATGATTTTCTTTTCTTAGGTTCTTGATTTATCAACATCGAAAGACTATAAATCATTTAGTGATCCTTAGGTTTTCTTTCAACTTCTTGATTTTTATATTCCGACCCATTACGCTTGATTTATATGTTTTTAGAAGAGATCCTTAGGTTACGCTCTTGAAATCTACCATCATAAATAGTAATTAAATGCAACAACTACTAGGAACTTTTTGTATATTAATCTGACAAGATAGATGAAAAATATGTGTGCTTGGTAAAGATATAACTTCTTCATAAACCCTAATAAATAATCGTCCAAAAGGTCTATCATATATTAGAAGTTAGAAGTTGAAACGCAAAAACCCTCCATATTTTAGTTTGACTTAGAAGTCCAACTTGCGTCATTTAAATGCTCCTTCTAACTGTCCATCCGCTTAAACGCGTCACATTACATCCATGAAAATTAATTCAATTGTTTAAGCACAAATCAAATTTATCAATTCAAATCCAAAACAACCATTTATTGGCCACTTGTGCTTGAAAAAGTGCCTATAAAATTATTGGTTCCCAATTATGAGGATTCATCACAAGTAAAATATAGGAGTTAGAACTTCTAACTTAATAGAAGGTTTGGTGCGGCGGAGGAGGTGGTGACGGCGGCGATTTGAATGGTGGTCGGGACATGGAGGTGGTTTCAGTGGTGGTGTGGGTGGTGGGGGTGGCCATGGTGGAGGTTTTGGGATTGGTATTGGCATCGGAGTTGGGGTTGGAGTTGGTTGTGGGGTCGGAAAGGGTGTCAGAGTCGGAAGTGGCTCCGACGGTGGAGGAGGCGGCAGTGTCGGTGGTGGCCGCCATTGATTGAATAATATGGTCAATGTTGGTATAGGCTTAAGTTAGTATTAGTACCATGTTGGCTTTGTGTTAAATTTGTTAGAGTTTATGTATTTTATTTAGTGTGTACTCATCAACAGATTTTTTTATTTTATATTTTTTTAGAAAAAAATATAAGTTTTCACTCTAGCTAACAATTTTTTAACTTTTTTCATTTTAAAAAGTGTGAAGGGTTCTGCGAAAATGGACGTCATAATTAATTGTCGCATTTCGATTGCACCATTAATTGTCGCATATTCATCACATAATGTCTTCACACATTTTGAAGTGAAAAAATTAACTTATGAGTAAAAAATTTAGTAACTTTTATAGACAAATGAAAAGTACTATTTTCACTCACGGCCAACGGGCCAAGTGTGCATGTTCTAATGGAAAAATTACATTACTTTGACTTTTTACAATTGTATCGATTGCATGAATTTTTCTTTCTGAAATCTTAATAGAAGACTTACATTTTAAATTATTCTCAATTTAAAACCTATTTTTAGTTAAGTTCTCATTATAAGCCAACTAACTTTACCTTAAGAAAGGAAAAAAAAAAATGAAGAAAGGCCAAATAGCGGGCTTAGCTATTTTCGGTATTGGGCTAACTTGAAATAGGCCTATGGAAGCCCAAGACGAATATGTTAAAAAGGAGATTATTGGAGAAATCTCGATCCAAACATTGAAACCACTGACATTAGAAAACGTGTAGAAACGTTTTAAGGAAAAACATCGAGAGGTGTTCAAGGCAAATAAAGGGAAATCCATGAATCTGGAAAAGGAAAATAATTAATTTAAATTGAAAAAAGTGAAATCAGAGTCAAACATTCTCAAAATTTAAAGTACCCACATTATTAAATTCTGGTAGCCTTTTTCAAATGTTTGGCAAATTCAATTAGCTAGGAAAGGCAATTTCAAAACTCAATGATAACATGGAGTAATTCAACCTCACAACATATCATCATAATAAAAAATTGAAACCAGACATATTAAATTATTTTCACCAATTATATATCAAAATTTCGTGATTTTTTAACACTATACTAAGAGTATATGGTATATGTTATTCTTCTATAACATCAGCTGATCGCACATTATAATCCTTTCTTATTTCCATCCATTTGGTCAACTAATATAACCCCCCTTGAATTTTAATTTCTAATTCTTCCTCTTCAATATTCTTTATTTTTGCCCAAAGAAAAATTTAATATATAATTCTCATTAATTATTCCACAAACTGATCTTAAACTGCAAGCCACTCCTAATTGAGTAATGGCCCACACACCACCAAGTATTCCACATTGTGGACACCCTTTTTCTTTCTACTTTGAAGGGTCAAAACAAAAAAGCATATAAATTCCCTCATTTTGACAACAAAAAATCATCCAATCCACACTTCAC